CTGTCATAAAGCTGTGACACTATTTGCCAAATAGTATTATTTAGTACCAATAATAGATGAGCATGATATCGCAACAAAATATTAAGAACTTTAGTTTTATATAGACTCAATTCTGGGTAGTCGATTTAGTTTTTTGTAAAGAAGGCTAAGTTATGGGATCCTGGCATCAAGAATAGTGTGCATTAATGGACATGATACGTAACTTTTTTTTAAACAAATAAATAATAGCAATGTAACAAAAAAAACTGTAAGTGATTCAAGTTTTTTATATGCTGTGTAACTTGTATTTGTTGGTTATGTAGTAAATAAAGAATGATCTCTTTCTTTTACACTTTTGCCGGAATGAATGGCACAAGTTTGGTGGCATCTTAGTCAACTGTCATTGTCAATGTGATTTCTTGATTTGATAAGATGTTACTTTCAGATGTTGAAGGACTACAAATGAGCTTTATGCCTGAAATTCATTTTTTCTTCAAAATCTTGTATAATTTTAAATATAGATATTTGATATTTAAGTTGAGTATAGGTAAAATGAATTTTTATAATTTTAGACTGGAAAATTCTTTTCCATTAATACTGAAAAATTCTTCTTCCATTCATTTGGGTTTTTCTATTATTAACAGCTTTTTTATAAGCTTTTATATAATTCACTCATGATGTATCCCTGTAGATGGAATTTTGTATTTGGATTTTTAACCTACTTCCTGGTAAGCTGTTGAGTTCAAATTTTGTGCACACATTATTTGTCAATGATAATGCAATGTGATTAAGAGACTTTTTTTTTTTTTTTTTTTTTTTCAAAATTTGGTATAAAATTTTTTTTATATAACATTTAAGCAATTTTTAGTGCATATCTTTGTTTGACAATGTATTAAGGGTATCAGAATTTTGTTCAGTCAAAAGTCATTAATCCGGACTCGTCGGGACTTTGGCGATTCTGGATTATAGATCATCAGTTTAAATTTGGTAAGATGGCATGCAGAAATTACAAAATTAAAAATACGAAACTGTAATTTATGAAATAAAGAACAATTATGATCTAAAGGGTATCAAAATTTACAAAAAGAAAAAGCTTAATATTTATTTGTTTACTTTATTAAACATTTCTTTCAATGTAAGTTGCTTCGTTTCATGTGATAATACTTTCTCTTTAATTCTATTAAACAGACATAATTTCTTGTTTAGTTACAAAGTTCCGCTGTTCAAATCCTATAATTGCTGTGTGGAGAATACCAACTAATTTGTCAATCGAAATGTTTTTCATTTTCAATAACCTCTGGGTCACTTTCTTCACTATCGGAAGCGAATTATAATGAGGAGGAACTTGATTTAAATCATATCAAAGACAGAGTACTTAGAGATGAAACACTACACTTAGTAAGGAATTATAAGCCAAATGAAATAAAAACATCTGCCCTGAAGATAAGGATAGTGCTGATAGATCAACTTCCAATCGGCAGTGTGAAATTGATAAACAGATTTCGGATTTCAAAACAAACTTTCGCTTTGTAGATACAAATTACATATTAGTGAATATATATCGGAAATTCTATTTGACATAATCGAAATTTCAAGCTTTTATGAAATTGCTCTAACAGTCTGCAAAAAATAATAAGCCGGATCCAATTCGTAGATTAAGGAACACCGCAATCTGCAACATTAACTGAATTAGATAATTTTAGCTTACCTCCGTTACACATTACACGCGCATGCGCACAAACATATTCGCAGCCGTAAAGGTCTTACGCGCACTCGTAAACGCCTGTGCGCAGAAAGTTTGTAGCTTTGAGGTCCGGATTATGGGTGTCCGAATTAACGACTTTTGACTGTATCAAAGAACACGGTGGGGAAAAAACAATCTTTTTAATGAAACTTGATTGAAGGAGAATTTTTGAAGATTGCTCGATTTTTACACTATTTGACATTTATAATTTTAAAATTTCAGTGTCTAAAAATGTCGCGGGGAAAAAGTTTTGAAATTTTCGCAGATTACGAAACAAACTCTTGGCCCTCTTATAAAAGAAGAATGATAAAATATATTAATTAAAAAATTTTCTACATTTATATATATATATATATAGTCTTAACCAAATGGGAGCAAAAAGCATTTTGAGTTTTCCATCGTGGCACACTTAATAATAAAGTTTGCCATTTTGGTATGCTTGTTGACAAATTGGCGATATTTGTTTTCTCATTTTAGCTTTAGTGAAATGCTTTAAGTAACATTGTTATTACATTCAATTTCAAAAACTGAACATTCAAAGCAATTTTCTTCATTTTGGGATTGATATGCAGTTATTTTTAGTCCAAAGGGGCTTTGTCCCTGAAGGACTATTGTTTTCATTTTGTGATTTTGCATTGAATCGCTATAAATGTCCGTTTCACTTTTCAAACTGTTGCCACCAAATGTTAGAGTCCTGCATTATATTTGAAGAAATTAAATAATGAAAAATCTACATAAATGTAGGTATATTTCTCGCATTGTGATCAACGGGACCTAGAGCCATCGAATTTTGAATGACGTAATCCTTCTACAAATATGGGCATGTTGAAATTTGGAATTTGTTTTATTATCGATTTCATATTTGTAAAACTTTTAACAAATTTTTGAGTAACAAACTCAACAATTTAAAAGCGAGCAATGGCAACACTCTACAGAGGAAAAAATACCTTTTTATCTCCAGTGCGCGGAACTTTGTATCGGAAATACTAAAGATAGGCTAATTTTAAAATTATTTTGCGACATTGCTATTGAACTGAATTTCATGGTTCAAGTGCAAAGAGCATGATATTTAATAAATAAAGGTAACACACAAAATGTTAAAAGAACGTCCCTTTGGACATAATTTAAAATCTAAAACCTTTCAGATTTTTTTAAAAACTTTTCTTATAATTTATTGCTTATGTTTTAATAAAGACTAAAAATTTCATCATTGATAACATATAATTGAAACTAAAAGGAGAAAATAAATGTAATTACAAATTTTTGTTAATACACTAAGCTTTTATTTAAAATGGAAATGATAATATTATTGGACTAAAAGGAGAAAAATAATTTATCATATAGTTTAATGGAAATAATAGGTTAAATAATTTTGTTTAAAGAATTCATCTACAATTTTATATCACAAATAATAAAAGGGTGGAGCACCCATGATAAATTAAAAAAGATAATAGCTTATGCATTTGACTATGCAATTTAATTAATAGATTTCCTTATTTATGTGCCTCAGGCTCTTATTGATGATATAAAATTGTAGTGGAATTCTGAAAATATAATTATTTAATCTATTATTTCCATTACACTAGATGATAAATTATTTTTTCTCCTTTTAGTGCAATAGCTATCATTTCCATTTTACGTAAAAGCTTATTGTACACACACACACACACCCAAATTTTTTTAAATTGTATTTACAGTGGGTGATCGGTTAACGAACGTAATCAGTTACAAGACTATGCTCGCTATCCGAATTGTTCTGATCATCGATTTACCATAGAATTTTTTGTGAAATTGGTTAATTCATTCTAAAGACCCTGAAAATTAAATTAAAGGATGTATAATTTCTTAGTAAGTTTATTAAAAAAATAATACATACATATAGGCTTGCATATTAATCGGTCCTTTTCATTTTTTGTTTATGGGATGTTAAAGAACATGCTCAATGTCGATTGCTTTGTTCAGAAGGAGACACATTTCTCTGTGTTTCTTGGTGTTCTTCATTCAAGATTTCTTGGAGTTCTGTCGTCAGTTCATCTTCATGTTCCATAATGAGCTCTTCTATGTCATCCTCGTTCACCTCCAGTTCCAGCAGTTGTGAAAATGCCATTCATAATTCTAGGGATGTCTCTGATCACCTCCTCTCCTTGAACGAAGGATGAACACAGTTTTCACCAAGCAGAAATCAACTGCTGCTGCGTGACTTTTAACCACACCTTTTGAATGATACGAATAGCTTCAAGAATGTCAAATTTTTCTTTCCAAAATGTTGTTAAAGTCATTGTGTAGGAGAATTGGTATACTTCAAAACAGTGTGCGAGTGTACAATTTCTTGAAACCCGCAATAACCTCCTGATCCATCGGCTGAATCAGTGAAGTCGTATTTGGAGGTAGAAACTGAAGTGTCATCCAGTGAAAGTTTGTCAGCAAATTATCTTCAAGGTCCTTTGGGTGTTCGTTAAAATTCATTTTAGTATGTCACGTGAATATGTTTTCGTTGTCCGATTTGTTCGCAGTTCGAACTGTTCGTTAACCCACTGTATTTTTATGTTCATCTGTCTGGAATTTTCACATATCCAGTATTCAGCATTTCCTGAGCTTTTTCCGAATAATTCAGCTTTTACTGTAGTGATAAAAAATAGATAACTTGAATTTGGAATAAAGAAAGTATAATTGTAATTTCTAAAATACAGCATAAACTATCATTAATTCTATTGGGCACTTTGTGGAACTAATATGGTATTTCATAAAAATAAGAGTTTGTAAACACACAAGTCTATTTATTTGATATCACTGTACTTGATATAAGTACTTAAGGCAAGTAAATAACTTAAAGCTTGTTTTTTACTAGTATATTTCACATTAGAACATGTAAATGAAAGTGCTATTTATTATAATAGCAGCTTTTGTCATTATTTACTACTTTGAAGCATAAATTTTATAATTGTAGAATAATTTTTAAAATATACAAAATTCAATTTTATTTTGATACTAATTTCAAGCAAAAAGTTTGATGTATTTTGAGAGAATATGAAGCAGGTTTCTTAAAATGTTTCAAATATTTTTATTTGAGGTAAATACTTTACTAAAGTTAAATGTAGCTATTTGTTCAAACTGGTGTGTTTCTGACAAATCTGTTTATGAAACATCTTCTTTTTAAATTTTAAATAGTTTTCTTGACTTTTAATATTTGTTTGATTAATTATTTATAGTTTTAGCTGTTGCTATTATTATTTATCTATTATTCCCTAGAGTACAATTTTCTTGAATATTTTTGCAGTGAACCTCAAATACAACTTGAACGTTTGATGGCCAGAGATAATTTGTCTGAAAATGATGCTGTAGCAAGAATAAATGCACAGATGCCATTAAAAGACAAAATCAAATTAGCTGACTTTATAATAACAAGTAATGGTAGCAAAGATGAAACCAAAGTTCAAGTTGAATCTGTTGTGGAGCAGTTGCGAGAATTAAAAATTCATTGGAAGTACCGTATTATTGCTTTTGGATGTTTCTTAATCCCTGCTTCTTTAATAGGGGTGGGAGCTTATAAATTTTTTATGTATTTGTTATGATTATTAAAATTATTATAAAATGTGCTATTATTATGATAAAATTAATTAAATATATATTCAGACATGTATTTATTGTGGAAATTGCTGTTTTATGGGGAAAAAAAATATTGCAGTAACTTTATTTAAAAAGGAAAATAAATTCCTTTAGTAATGTAATTTCTGTATATATATTATCAGTTTAAATAATTTAATAATCTTGTATATATGCTATCCTTGAGATAGTTCCTATTTAGTATTTTTTTAAATAAACTATTTGCCTATTGTACAAGTAATATGTTTCACTTTCTGTTGTTAAGAGTGTTAATTATTCTGTAGGCAGGCATTCCATAAAACGTTAAATCATTTTTATTAATGAATGTATTAGAACTTGGACGTATTTATCACTTGCATGTTATAAATGAAGAAATAAAGAATTTTTCAGGCATTTTCATATTAAAAAATATTTTGTGTTTTTAAAACTGATTGACATGCATAGCACAGATAGGAAAAATGAATTATTAAAGTTTAAATGCTGCTCACTTAAAAGTGCAGACTCGTTTCTGTTGAAGTTTTTTTGAGTGGCCCACCTATTTGCAATGCAGACAGTGTCCTTGTTTGATCTTTTTGTTCCTGCCTTTGCTTTTGTATTCTTATATTTAGCCTTACATTGGTTTCATCTGAAACAATCAGACTGATTTTTTAGAATTGCTGAATAAATCTTTGGTAGACTAATTCGAAGCTTTCTTTTGCAACATATTTTACTTTTCTTTAATTTTGAGATAATGTTTTTGGATTGGTTTGTTGATGCATTTAATTTCATTGCAGTCTGTTTCTGAGTATAGATTATATCCTTTGTACTTAAATAAAAATGTGCTATTTTCACTAATACAGTACAAAGTCCATGATCGGGAATGATCCTAACTTCGTTAACTCGGTATTTTGAAAATTTCTGGATTTTAGGTCATCAGTTTAAATCTAGTAAGATGACATGATGAAAATATAGAATAGTCATTTATGAAATAATGATTTTCAGTGAAAAAAATCTCTGTTTATTTGCTTGTTTTATTAACATTTTTTTTAATGTAAGTTGTTAAAGGTGTTTCATTTTTTTGTGCTAATACTTTCTCTTTAATTTTATAGATGATATAATTTCTTCTTCAGTTGCAAAGTTTCACAGTTCAAGTCCTTTAATTGCTGTATCAAGAATTCATACTAAACTGTCAGCTGAAATCTTTTCTCAGCAACCTCTCTGTCACTTCGTTATTATCAGTAAAATATTTTCTGGATTTAAAACCACATTATGTATCCGGCTGTCCGCCATATTATGTATTAGCTCACTCAATGACTGGGGCTTCATTATCATAATGAAAACCTGTGTTATATCTTCTTCGTTATTATTATCACTTTTCATAAATTCCATTGATTAGAAAATTGTTGTTGAACAGTTGACAGAAGCACTGTTTATAGTGGTGTCGAGAACACAAAGATTAGACAACTAATCACTGGAGTCGCATGCTCTTTACTGATGAGAGTGGTTTAAGTATGACAGGCACAGTAGTTGCACATGGCAACCGGACGACAGGTGCCTCTGTTTACTATGGCCAGATGACTTCATGAAAATGCCCTATTTGTCCGTTGCTCTGAATGCTGCATATCATTGACAACAGTCCATTTGTATACCATTTACAGTGGGATAGGTAACACAAGGACTTGATAACTTCAATGGAGTCATGTCCTCTTTACTGATGAGAAACGTTTAAGGCTGACAAACGATTCTCGACTTCAGTTGATATAGCTAGGAACAGAGGCTGGTGAAAAAAGAATGGAAATCATTACTCCTGGAAATTTTATGAAAAGCCCTTCTATTGTGGTAATCATGGTGCTGGCTTATAATTAAAAAAAAAAAAAAAAGCCTAACAGATGAAATATTTTAAAAAATACGGATTGCATTTTAAGCATTATTTAAACGGCTTTGAATTCTTTCTAAAAATGTGTAAACTCCCCTTTTAATCTCAAAATGTCCTGTAACTGTGGTTTTCGTAGTTTGAAGAAGAGATATTAGTCACATGGAGTGAAATCTGGTGCTTAAGGAGAAGAAGTAATCTCACATTACTCTTTTTGAATTGCATTGATACTTTTAAGGGAAAGAGACCTTTGGTGTGGTCCTAATAGGCTTCTATGGGGAGACATTACAATGAACAGATAGACACATTTTCAGAGCTCCGCATTTTTGACAGAAGTTTACTTACCAGACATACTGAAATGAAGTTATCCTCCCCCATTTTTCCTTGTGGGGTGGTCATTGGTTCAGACTTTGTTTTCGCGGGTGACAGTGCACGGCTACACGAGACTCTTGGTACATAGCTACTCACACACACAGAGTGCACGGCTACACAGGACGTTGAGGGCTCCTGGAAAGAGAAGAATGGATTGTCTAGCCTGCTTCCCTGATTTAAATCTCATTGAATAGGTGTGGGATACTTTAAGTTGACGCGTGGGCGACGCGATCTTATCCTCCGGAGAATATCAGACAACTGAAACAGATGCTCCTTAAAGAATAGAAACTAGTACCCCAAGAACTGTTGGATAATCTGGTGTTGACTATCAACAAACTGTGCAAAGCAACTATTGCAGTTAGGAGAGGTCATATCCTTTACTTAAGCTCTTTGTTTTTTTTCTTCTACCTCTTGGCCAGACAAATTTTTGTACCAACGCCATTCTGTCAATAAAGCCTTTTCTATTAGTTTTGTACCGTATAGGACCTATTAACTTTTCTGCTACTATACTTTATTCGTCTTTAAGTGCTACATTATGCCTCTGTAGTATGAATTCCACCTCTCCCAGTTAATTTTTTGTAGAATTACTGCCAAAATTGGAAAGTTTTGCACACAAGTATATATATGTAGGTGGAATCATATATAAATGTAAATAGCTCCAAAAGCATTCCATGTAATATACAGTCAAAAGTCGTTAATGCATGTGCATAATACATTTACGCATGCACTTTTAATGTATAACTGATGGTATAAGCTAAGCTAAAATTATCTATTTCAGTTGATGTCGCAGATTGCGTTGTTCCTTAATCTCCAAATTGGATCCAGCTTATTATTTTTTGCAGACTGTTAGAGCAATTTTATAAAAGTAAGCTTGAACTTTCGATTATGTCAAATAGAATTTCCGATGCTGGAGCTGCCAAAGGATCTGCAAAGGGAAAGCATGTTTCGATGTCCATCAAACAAAAAGTGGAATTGCTGCAAAAACGGATAAAGGCTCCTTTGTTTCTCTAACCATTTCAAAATCTGTTTATCAATTTCACACTGCTCTGAGGGGGGGGGACGTCGTGGTGCGCAATGAACTGGAAGTTGATCTCTCAGCATTATCCTTATCTTCAGGGCAGATGTTTTTATTTTATTCGGCTTATAATTCCTTACTAAATGTAGTATTTCATCTCGACATACTTAGTCTTTGATATGATTTAAATCAAATTCTTCGTCTTTATAAATATCATGAATGCAAATCAAATAGTTTTCTGGTTGCAATTTTCTAATTTCGACTATGCATAATATATGCTTTATGCATGCGCGCATTGAAAGGAATGTTTAATAAAGTTAAAAAAGATAAATATTAAGCTTTTTTTTTTTTTTAAATTTTGATACCTTTTAAATCATAATTGCTCTTTATTTCATAAATTACGGTTTCATATTTTTAATTTTATAATTTCTGCATGCCATCTTACCAGATTTAAACTGATGATCTATAATCCGGAATCGCCGAAGTCCCGACGAGTCCGGATTAAAGACTTGACTGTACTTCAGAAAGAAACCGAGAAAATTTTAATAGTTTATTTTTCAATATGAGCTTCTTGTTCTTCGGTGCACTTTTCACATAATTTAATGAGCAATTTGATGGCCCTGAAAACGAACAGTGTTACACATTTTTTAAGTAAAAATTTTTTATAAAGAATTTTAGAAAAAGAAATATTTTGTAATAAAAAATTTTGGCGACAGCTTATTATTTTAAATGAAAAGTATTATTTAAATGTATTCTTTTTTTCAGAATGTTGCATGTAAACGAAGTGCATATTAAAGGAAATGTTTTTGGCCTCTCCGAAGAGAAATATTCATATTACATTGTGAAATACGCAGTATTAAAATTTCTAATAGCAAAATAAGCAACATCATTAATCGTAAAGACAGAAACCATCAGTCGGTAATTCTACATAGAAAAAAGACTGCAAACAAATACTGGGAAAAGGTACTACTTTTACTAATTCTAAATTTAAATATATAGTTCTATTTCTACATTTTAATCCTTTCCAATAAGAGAAAACCTGCTGGCTTAGGAATGAACTGCAAAATCTTTAAATGCATCTGTAGTAAAATAATAAAACAATATTTACAATTTAAAAAAGCTAAAAAACTTAATGTTCACCAGATATGTGCTCAACGCTGAGCAGTTTGTAGAACCCTGTATGAAAACTAGTTAGCATTAGATAAATGGAAATGCATTGTGATCTTTGATGACGCATAGGTTTGTAGTGGTGACGTAATGTTCTTTTGTAACTATTGAAATTTGTCGAGTGACAACATAATTTAATTCCATTATGTAACTACTAAGACTTCCCGAGTGGCAACGTTAAGAGAGAAGTTTTATTGTTATCACTTAGTGTTGCATTATTATTGTTTTCATAAGCCTTATTCTTTTTATAAAAAAACCTGTGTTATATTTTTATTTAAGAAATCTGCAATGTGTATCAAATATGTATGAAAATTAAAGATGTATACAAGGTGTGACACAAAAAAAAAAAAAAAAAAAAAAAAAAAAGACTGGTCCAATAAATTATAGTACTTACAGAATCCATTCTGTGTGGCATTGTCACCTACAAAGTAGTTCCCTTCAGCATTCACACACTTCTGCATTTGGTGCTGCCATTGCTATTAACAGTTTTGGAACGAGGTTTTTTAGAAGGCCCTTCAGAAGATTCTCCGTTTCTGCCTGAACCTCTTCAGCTGAGGTAAAATGGGTTCCCTTTAAGCAAGATTTAACTTTAGGATATAAAAAAAAAAAAAAAAAAAAGTCGCATGGAGCCAAATCATATGAATAAAGAGGATGCCCCATCACAGTAATGTTTTTGCTGGTCAAAAACTGCTTGACAGATAGGGCCGTGTGAGTGGGTGCATTGTTCTGGTGCAACAGCCATCCTTCACTCCACAACTATGGCCTTTTTTTTTTCATGAAGTCTTTTTAGTACTTCAATGTAGTAGTGTTGATTAACAGTCTGACTACTGG